TAATGCTTTATGATGTTTGTGACTTTTCGAAGGAATATTTTTACATTCGATAAAGTAAGAAATATTTAATTGTTTACAGCTTTCAAAAAAATTGATTATTATACCCTCAGCCATATGGCTACAGAGGGTATATATCATTTGATACGGCAAAAACTTGTCTCATCGAAATAACGATTTTAGACCCTAGGTCTCTTTGGACCAAATCCGTTTTAGGACATTTGGTGTCGATCTAGCGATGTACGTCCGTCCGTCTGTCTGGCTGATGCGCACTATAACTCTCGAAGAAAGTATCCGATTTGATCCAAATTTGGTATATCGTAATATTATTGTCAAACTTAGATCGAGTTCGGAGATGGACAATATTAATTCATTCCTTCTGGTACCTCACCCATAAAATGACCACATTTTCCAAGAAAATAATTTCCTGCACAGAGAGAGAAAGGATAATCCGATGTTGCTCAGACTTTCCATATCCTAATATTTGCATCAGTGCTAGGTAGGGTGCGAAAATGGACAAGATCGGTTCAGTCCATCAAGTTCCCTCCCCTACAAGTGGTCAATATTTTTAATAATTACAATTCTTGTAAAATGTGAAGTAAGATCACGATTGTCTTCAAAATTCACACATCTCAATATTTTTATCAACCCAAGGTCTGGTGTTAAGATGGAATATATCGGTCCACTCCTTTTGGCACCTCCCCCACAAAAGGTCGAAATTTTCATAAAAATATTTTTGGCACAGAAGGACAAAGGATAATCCAATTTTGGTCCAACTTTGCAAATCCTAATATTTGCGTCAGGTGCGAAAATGGACAATATCGGTTCACTCTATCAAGTACCTCCCCCACAAAGGGTCAAAATTTTGAATAATTATAACCCTCATAAAATGTGATGTAAGAATCCGATTGTCGTAAAATGTCACACATCCCAATATTTTTATACCATCATTTTAACAAGATGTGTTAAAATGATGGTAGAGATCGGAATACTCCTTCTGGTACCTCCCCCACAAAGTGTGATAGTTTTGAATAAACTACACGACCATAAAAATCCGAAAAAGGCATCCAGTTCTTTTCTCAAGTTAGACATATCACAATATTTTTATTAGCCCAAGGTCTGGTGCGAAGATGGTATATATCGGTCTACTCCTTCTGGTACCTCTCCCACAAAGGGTCAAAATTTTTAATATCCGTGAAGATCATAAAATTAATATCCGATTCCATTCAGACTTGGTACATCCCAATATTTCCATCAACACAAGATCTATTATAAAGATGGTAGAGATCGTACGATTTCTTCTGGTACCTTCCCGACATAGGGTTAAATATTTTGAAAAATTTTCACATTCAAACATTTTTGTTAACGAAAGATCTGTTGTAAAGATGTCACCCCCTTCTGGTGCCACACCCCCAAAGGAGTACATATTTAAATACTTTTATCTTTACAACTTGCTATGTCTAAATATTAATTTCAACCAGAAACCTGAGATGAATATGGAATTTATGAATTCGCATAAATTTGGATATAAAAATTCGATTTACTTGTATTTTTTACTCCGATATATTTATCTGTATTATATGAGGTATGAAAATGGAATTCTTCGGTCGACTATACCTGGTACCTCCGGCACATTTTAACTTTTTCTAAAAATTATCATATAAAGTGAAGAAAGTTGCCTATAAAGTTCAAACCTGGCACGTCGAAATATTTTTACACATTTATTACACAAAATGAACGTTATTGGTCCATTAACATTAACAATTTTCATAAAAGAGAAAGCATAAAACACAAATTGGTTGGAAATTATCGACCATTTCGAAAAAATATTTGCAGGGAGTGTGAATATTAGCAAAAACCTTAAATTTCAACCAAAGCCGAGAAAATATTCAAAATCAGGAATCACATGTAGAATATACAATATAGTGGATTTATTTTAAGGAAGAATTTATACAAATTGAGAACACGAAATTACAGTCGATCGATTTTTTACTGAATAGTTCAAAATGATGAAAATGTGGTATAAAGGTAGCAAACGTCTCTGCGAATGTTCTAAGCTCTGCCCAAAATATTGCAAATTCTGTAGAAATTTTTACAGCCTGCAGATGGTCTGTTATAGTTTACATATACCATCGATTTGCAAAAATTAAATTAAATATTGAAATTTCTATATATTATACATTAATTCACATTTTTTATTGCTCTAATACAAAAGACTTAAGCACCAAACACGAGTTTTTTTTTTCACCATAGCTCCATCTAGTGCTTATAGTCACTCAGTTAACGCATAGCAAAGTCAACAACCTAAACGAATAAGATAACAAGATAAAAAAATTCACATGGGTAAAATGTTTGTATTGTCAAAGATACGAACAGAGAATGGATAATAAAACAGAATGGGCATAATCATAGACATACACATATGACACAATGGAGGTTGATATATTTTCCATATAACAGGTGGCTCTCAAAATCTTTTGCTCATTTTTTTACCCTCCACCATACTATGAAAGGTATATTAACTTTATATATATATTCTTGATCAGCGTAAATTCTAGGTTGAATTGGCCATGTCCGTATGTATGCCTGCTGCTTGTAATCACGCTAAATTGAAACAAATTGAGATGGAAGTACAAATCAGATTAAGTTCGTGAATAGTCCGAGTCGTTTTGCGTTTTCGTGTACCCCGCATATGACTGTACCTCCAAATATTCGGTATTTGGATGACTTTAGCGACTGTATTCACCGGAATTGTTTCAAATTTCTAATTTCAAGATCTTAACGGGTACTACAACCTAAGACACAAAATTATCTATGCCAGTGCACGACTTCGATACTACAGTCTATGACAAATAATTACTTATGCAGGTCCTCGTCTTCGTATAGTACCCATATAACGGTTTTAATTTAAACGGAATTTTTCTCCGAATTATTTTCAAAAAATTTTAAGTTCCTTCCAAATGGTGAAGGGTATTTTAAAATGTGGGACCGGCCGAACTCTCTCTCTCTCTCTCTCTCTCTCTCTAGAAATAATAAGATATTTTTCAAGTGCATCTTTAGCACGCCGCTGGTGATGAAGGTATGATGTATTATACAGGGTGGCACAAAAGTAATTTTACTATCAGAGTGTTATAAATCTAAGATTGACCCCTAAATGTCTTAATTACAGCAAAAAAACATTGGAAGTTTATTTCTGCAACAACAAATTCATAGCATTTTCTGATAGGAGGATTACTTTTGTCCCACCTTTTATTTAAGTAGCTAATTTTGCATAGCAAGCGCTTATTGACCGAAATTTATATGGTGCCCATATGAAGGCGATTGGGGATATAGGAGAATTATATATTTTATTTTTTCGTAGTTTACTCTTATATCACCATTTGGTTGAGAAATTTATGTTGGGTTGAAGATGTTCAATAGGAATGAAATTTATGAAATATCATCTAATTCAGATATTGACATATATTCTTATCCGAGGCTAGTTGTTGGTGAAGGTCTGGGTGTAATTTGGTTGTATGTGTTTCTGTGAATGATGCTAAAATGGTGGTAACGATAGGTACCTCAGGATGTTCTTTTACGAAAATTTCAGCCGACTACTTAAGCCAGTAAAAAAATTCTGCAATGTACTTGCACCGTGTATCCAATGTCTCAAAAAATAATAAATAAAATTCGGTTAAAATCTTAAAACTACCGAATGTGGACCTCTATAGGCAATCTTTGTCATAATCCATTACAATATCCAAATGCGAAAGTTGAAAAAAAAATCGGTGAATAATGTAGCTATAGCTGTACCAAAACGTGGACCTGCACAAACAATTTTCTGTCTTAGGCTGTAATATCCATTACGAACTTCAAATACCAAATTTTAAACAATTCCGGTGAATAATGTCGCTAATATCATCAAAATACCGAATATCGGGAGGTACCGTTATATGGGGGCTATACGAAGACTCGAACCTGCATAAACAATTTTCTGTCTTAAGCTATAGTATCCATTACGAACTTCAAATGCCAAATTTGACAATTTTCTGTCTTAGGCTGTAATATCCATTACGAACTTCAAATACCAAATTTGAAACAATTCTGGTGAATAATGTCGCTAAAGTCATCAAAATACCGAATATCGGGAGATACCGTTATATGAGGCCATATCAAACATGGCCCATTTTCAATACCAATAGTCCTGCAGACATAAAATACATTTGAATAAAATTTTATCGACCTATCTCGTTTCATTCGGAAGATTTATACAGACGGACGGACTCTGCTAAATCGACATAGAATTTTATGCTGGCCAAGAATATATATACTTTGTGTGGTCTAAAATGTATATTTCGAGGTGTTACAAACGGAATGACAAACTTAATATACCCCCCATACTCCTGGTCCTATATTCACGAGAATGAATCTTGAAACTTTAGACACACGAAAGGATCCATTAAAAGGAGACCATAGATTCAAAAAGAAAGACCGACGTCGTTAAATCTGACTCACAGACCCCGGCTTCTTCTCCACAGCCTTGGTGTTTAGAAATAGAGCATGAGAGTTATTTTCTATAGGTATAAGTAATGCCAGGTAAAAAAAAATGTTTTCATCTATGATGATATATATGATCATCAGAGTGATGATTCTCATGAAAACTAAAATTAGCAAAGGTTCGTTTTCGCAAATTTTACTCCGATCTGAAGAGGTCTTTATTTCGATTTTTTCTCATATGTGTCTCATTAAATGTAAATGACTCCATCTCCAAAGAAATGCAAACACATTTTAACTCATAACCAAAACAAATTATTCAAAATATTTTATCTACCGCATCTAGATAACGAATTGTGATACAAATGGTACGAAAAATTGTACACACACCAAACAGATTTTGCATCCCTCATATTCCAACCAAAGCAAACATACCAACAACAACAACAACAGCAAACACAAATTCCAATTGAATTCACAATGAGAACCGTGATGACTGTGTTGTGTTCGCTCGCTCGTTCATTCATTGCGGCCGTCATTCGAGTTTCAACCGTGTTCGAGGTAACATCGTGTCGACGGATAACGTGGAAAAGTGACGCGAATTTGCTCTCTTGTGGGAATTTTTATACGCTGAGAGGAACTCTCTCGCCGGAGAGAAGAAAAAACACCGAAATAAAAGTAAAGGGAAACAAAAATAGTTATCGGTACGCCGCGTGTGTTTGTTTGTGTGTTTGAATGTGATGATTATTCTCCTCATTGTGAGTTAAACAAGTGGAAAAGGAAAAATTCAGAAAAAAAATTAAAGTTATACAGATGTGTGTATGTATGGATACATACATGCATGAATAAAGTTGGATACGGAGAATAAGAAGAAGAGAAGAAGCAGAAGAGCAAAAAGGTATACAATATGAAAAATAGCAACAGCAAAAACAATAACAACAAAACAAATATAAATAAATACGGAAACAAGAAATAAAGAAAAGTGCAATACATACAAACGCACACACCGCCAAACATAATTTTTTCGAGGAGGAAAAGTGCGTGCGTGCGTGTGTTTGTAAAGAAAAAAAAAACAACAACAATAGAGGAAGGTGTGTTTCGAAAAAAATGAAATTGGAAAAAAATTAAAAAATTATAATTAAAAAAAAAATATTGGAGTCTGTAAATTGGATATTCAACGCCCGCTCCCACCCATTATGTAGCAGTGTGTGTGTGATCAAAAATTGTTTAATGTTTGTGTATTTTTTTCTTTTCAATGTGAGAGCGGTATTTTTTTGCAGTGTTTGATTATTCTTTGTTGTTTTTGTTGTACCAATAAAAGAAAGTATTTCTACCGTCTGGAGTTGTTGTTGCTTTCCGTCTGCCCACTCTAGTCGGTTTTGTTTACCATGCGTGCGTCTATCGTTTTTATTTTTTGCTCTCTGCCATAAAAACGTCATACTGTCTGTCTGTCTGTCGGCCTTTCTTTCTGTTTTTAACTCTCATTGCCGTCTGTTATTTTTTTGTTTTTGCCTTCTCGTTTGTTGACGCGTCACATACCTTTGCATTGTCTGTCTGTCTGCTTTCATGTTTGTCGGTTTCATACCAGCATAACAACAACTCCAACTCTCAAATCAAACCAAACTCCATCCAACTCTCATTGCCAATAACAATAACAACATTGGTGTGCTTTGCTCAAAGCAGAGCTGAGAGTCACAAAGGCCATGATGATGATGCTCTTTCATCTGTGCTCCCCCCTTACAAATGACAGCGGGCCTTTCAACTGAGAATTTTTTTTGTTATGAATATGAAATAAGAAAAGAAAAACAACCCAGCCGAGAAGCATTTCTTATGGGAAGGATATTTTTTCCTGTGTGATAAGATTTTTCCGGGAAAATTTCACCTGTGTCTTTATTATTAAAAAAAAAAAAAAAAAAAAAAAAAAAAAACAAACAACAACAAGAGAATAATAATTTCATTTAAAAATGGTGGGAAACTAAATTTTGTGTGCCTCTTTTCGTATTATATCCCAAAATGTAACCGAAATAAATTTCACCCAAAAATAAAAGAACCGGTAAAAAGTGATCGCAAACAAAAACAACAACAACAGCAAGCAATTTGGATTTGATTTCTTTTCATTAAATATGTTAAACACGTTTCTGACTGACTAGCTGGGCTGGCTGGCTGTGTGACTGGCTAAAAAGATACCAAAAGCGAAAGAAAAAATAAAACGGCCAAAGAAAACAACAAAACAAAAACCAAAAATAAAATAATTTTAATTAAAATGCCAAATGAGTTTATCCAACCGAAAAAAATGTGTATTCCAAAATGTGTTAAGGAAAAAGTGTTTTAAAATTTGGAAAAAAATAAATGAAATAATATTGAGAAAAGTGAATAAAAGTATTGTCTTCTTGATAATATATTATAAGAAATAAATTGGAATTTTTGAAATCAATGTGATCATGAATATCAAAGGATAATTCCCGTACAGTGTTTCATTAGTAAACTTAAATTTTTAAAAGGAAAAGCCTTTACCCTTAGTAAATAGAGTTGGGCTTTGGCTGTGTGGGAATAAATGCACGGGAGTATTTAAATTCTCAGTTTTATTTATACCCTACACCGCATAGTGGTAAGGATATTCTGTCTCTGTGCATCTGTTTGTAATTTGGAGAAGGCGGCGAGATAGACCCATAGTTACTTTTGAGGATCTTCATGGAATCACTTTCTAAATCGCTTTATGCATGTCAGTCCGTCCGTCCGCCTGTCCATGTATTTTTGTGAACGAAATGCAGGTCGCATTTATTATACAATTAAAATGAAATTTTGCATATACACTGGTGGCCAAAACTAAAGCAACTTAAATCGCAAAGACAATAAATGTCCTGTAACTTTTACAAAAATAAACAAATCGTAATTATTTTTCCAGTTTTAAATCAGGGGTTTAATTCACTTTTAAGAAACTAAAAATAAAAATACAAAAATAATTTTGAACGAAAAATAATATGTGGAAAACTAAAATGACCCAATTTTTGCTTGGTCAAAACTAAAGCAACTTTTGATTTTTTATTTTAAAATAATTAAATTTTGGCTAGTAGTCGATAGCATAACCATTATTTTTGATAGCAGCTGCACACCTATGAGGCATTGAATCTATAACACGCTCAATTTGATCCTTGGGTTTGCTTTCCCAGGCACCCCGAATTCTTTAGAAAATGTTGTGCTTATTTATTTCCGAATCTCTCTTGATCTTCCTATCTACGATACTCCAAAGGTTTTCTAAGTAGTTTAGGTCAGGTGATTGTGCCGGCCATAACAAAACATGAATTTTTGACTCCCGCAACCAATATTTGACAAGTTTTGATTCAAGTTTGGGATCATTGTCATGCTGAAACACCCAAATCAGCCCAATATTTTACTCAACGTAAGGGAACAACGTGATGTCCAACACATCTTTGTAAACAAACCGATCCACAACTTCCTTTATTTTATGGATAGGCCCAAGTCCATAGAAAGAAAAACAGCGCCACGCCATTTTTGACCCTCCCTCATGCTTCACTGTACCTTTGCAACACTGCGGCTTGAGTCCTTCATTTTTTGGTCTTCTCAACGTAAAATTTTTCACGTCTGAGCCTTTAATATTATCAATAAAGAAAAAAAAAAAAAAAAAAAAAAAAATATTAAACGTAGACTCATCCCAGAAATAATGTTTTTTCCATTGAGCTTGATTCCACTTAATATTATCGTCTCCGAAAGCCTTCTTGATTTTTTCAGATATAAATGGTTTTTTGATGTCTTACGGGCATGCAGACCAGCTGCCACTACTCGTCTACGCACTAATCTCGAGCTTATATCCAATGATCGCTCTCTCACCAATCCAGTTGAACTCTTAAATAGTTGTTTTTTATTTCTCTCACAATTTTTGGATCAGTACGGGCTGAAGTTTTTCACCGCCTTCATCCGTTATAGACTGTTACTACTGATCCAGTTTCAAAAAACCGACTTAATATACAGAAATAATTAAAAAATCACATAAATATTTATGAAATATTTCTCGGAAATCATTTTCTGTGACATGTTGTTTTGATAGGCACTGATAATTTGCTGTTTTATTCAGGTACTGTATTTGATTCTACCCATTTTTAAAATTTTTTTGGGCAGTACTTAAAAAACGAAAAGAAAAACACATACTATTGTAAAAAACTTCTCAAAATGGATTTATGACAAGCGAAATTGGCGAGAATCGGTTCAAATTTAGATATAGCTCCCATATATATCTTCAACTTATTTCGGGTTTAATTGTGCACCAAATGAACTGAATTTTGGAATTTCCGACTAAATTCATGCTAGAAACAAGTACTTCAAATGCGAAAATCGGTTCAGATTTAGTTATAACTCCCATCAGATACCGTTCGAACATACCTCAGCCAAATTTAATCGAGATCGATTCAGATTTTTATTTAGCTTCGATATACATCTTCATCCGATTTTACGCTTATTGTCATAGGGTGAGTTAAAAAAAAACTGCAACAAAGTCAAACGCCATAAATAGCATCGGAAATAGCATCAAATTTTAGAATAAGTTTAGATTTGTTCGAATTGGTTACCTTTGGCACGAATTATGGCCTTCAAACGGCCAATGAAACCGAACCGAATGTTGCTCTGCGGTATTTTGGCCCATTCCCGACGAAGCACATGCTTGCAGTGATCGACACTTTGGTATTTTTTAGTGCCAACCTTGCTTTCCAAAATACACCAGACGCAATAGTCCAACGCATTGGTATCGGGAGATGCTGATGGTCATTGTGCGCTGGAAATAATTTTTTTACAGTTATTGAAATTCATTTATTTTATGAGAGTTATTAACAGAAGTAGAGATCAAATATAAATACTGACTTAGGTTGAACTACATCGGGTACTCGACTCGAAAGATAAGAATGATTTACGAACGATATATACTATTTTCACATTTATTCTAATAAAGAAAAATTCAAAAATTCGTCTATTTCCGTTACTCAAATTTTGAACTTTTGCGACGGAGGTACATGAATGAGTAAACCAATAGTGGACATTTTCACACCTGATAATCGGTTTTTAAATGATTTTTGCCACATCTTTTTCACGGAATTTTCTAAAAATCGGCATTTGTAGGTTATAATGGGTTTTAGCTTATGTGGCGAAACATTGTAGGTATAGGTCCACCTTTCGTCATAGTCCTAATATTACGGTACCTCCCGATATTCGGTGTTTTGATGATTTTTGCACAATTTTTAATGGATTTGTCCAGAAATTGGTATTTGTAGTTCATAATGGGTTATAGCTCGTGTGGCGAAACATTGTGTGTATAGGTCCTCGTTTTGGTATAGCCCCCATATAACGGTACCTGCCCGATATTCGATATTTTGATGGTTTTTGTCACATTTTTCCACGGATTTGTCTAAAAATTGGTATTTGTAGATCAAAGTGGGTTCTAACTCCAGTGGCGGAACTTAGTATATATAGGTAGCGCACATATAACGATACGTACCGATATTCTGTATTTTGATACTCCTAGTCACATTTACCTCATAATTGTTTCAAATTTGGTGTTTTAGAAGAGTTGATAGATGACAGTACTTGAAGTATAAAATTATCTACACAGGTTCCCGTTTTGGTATGGCCCCACATGACGGCTTCACTCACTTTTTGGATTTTTGATAAGTTTAACTTCATTATCCAAATGGTCTTACTGGTATATGAAGTTTAAAGTGAAACAGGCTTGAATTCAGATACATTTATATAAAAATGTTTCTTTACCCTAAGGTAGAGGGTAGTTAAAGTTCGGGCCGGCCGAACTTAATTTTTATACCCTACACCACAAAGGTGGTCAGGGTATTATGTCTTTGTGCAGGCAAAAGGAAACGAGATAGACCCATAGTTCCTTTTCATGATCTGCATAGAATCACATTCTTAGTCGATTTATGCATGTGTGAAACTTTGCACAAATCATTTGTTTGGCCCAAAGACGAACCCTATTGAAATTGGAGACAATCGGTAACAATTTAGATATAGCTCCCATATATATCTTCGTCCGATTTGCCTTTTATTGTGCACCAAACGTGTAATATCAGCCCTAATAGTGTGGAATTTTGCACGTTCGATTAGATTAAGCCTGAAAATAAGTATGCTTAATTTGATGGAAATCGGTTCAGATATAGTTGTAGCTCCCATATATATTGTTCATCCGATTTGTTATTTTTATCCTCCGCAGCCGTAATATGATCTCTGTAACAACAATATTTGGGGAAATATATCAAATACAGCTTAGAAATACATTTGCTAAATTTTATCGAAATCAGTTCAGATTTGGATATAGCTCCCATGTATAACTTCGTCCGATTTACCTTTTATTGTGCATCAAACGTCTAATATTTGTCCAAATGGCATGGCATTTGGCACTTACAACCAAATTGAGTCTAGAAGCTATTATGTCAAATTTGGTGAAGATCGGTTCAGATATAGCTATAGCTCCCATATATACTGTTCATTCGATTTGTTATATTTGTTACCCACAGCCGTAATATGCCGTAATATGCACTCCGTAACAACGATATTCAGGGAAATATACCAAATACAGCTCAGAAATATCTTTGCCAAATTTTATCGAGATCGGTTCCGATTAGGATATAGCTGCCATATATATATTTATCCGATTTCAAATTAATTCCGCACCAAATGGGAAATACAAGTTCGAAATTAAAAGATACAAATGCTTCGGCATATTTAGTTCTTTGAACTTTAAATTATAATTATAATCAAAGCGTGTATGCGGAGCTCTACTAAATTAGCAAAGTGGTGTAGGGTATCATAAAGTCGGTCCCGCCCGACTTTAAGTTACTGGTTTTACTTGTTTTTAATTTTTCTTTTTAAAAACAAAGTCTAATATGGTTTAGTTTTCATTTAATATTTTTCTATGACAAACATAAACATTTTTCAGTACAAAAAAAAGTCTGTTACGATAAAAAAAAAGAATATGTTATAAATTGAAAATGTTGTCAATCATTGGTGGAAAAATCGTTAATAAGTGTTCCCATCAATTTTTTCGTTTTCTCATTTCCTGTTAACAAACGAAAAACAAATTTGAAAAGAATTTTCATTCACATACTGTTGTAAAACCAAATATGTATTCTGGTCGGAAGGAACCAAGATTTTGATGAAATAAATGTAATCTCTTGAGGAAATTACGGACTAGTGTAAGACATTGATTTTTATTGGAACAAATAATTTTCAATATTCCATATGTTTTCCAAACAGTGTCATATAGTGCTTAACCTTAGATTTTATTCGATTTGAAAGAAGGGATAAAAATGCCCCAATCATTACAAATAATTCTCAGTGAAACAGTGCCAAAATGCAATACATTTTTTTTACAACAATCTAATTTTCCAGTGAAAATTTAAATGTCGACGGGTTCTAATAAAACTTTCCAAAACAAAGTTAAAATTACTAAAACTGAGTGAATAAAGGCAAATACATTTGAAGGAGTGAATTAAAAAAGTAAACCATAATAACTGAAATCGTGTAGCAAAAATACACCAATAAACACCTTTCCAGCAGAAAAGAAATCACACCCAACGTTCAATGACAAATCAATCTGAACTAAATTAAATCGCTTAAATAAAACCAGACTCCGCTAATAAAACAAATATTTTTAACACATTTCATTGGAATTACCCTCTTAAAACTTGTTTTGTTACGATTTGGTATTGATGTTCTTTGCAGCTCGCTCGTACCTTTGATTCAACCAGTTTGTGAAACCTTTTTGCCAGTTTCTGTTTTTGGGTTTTATTTTTGCCATTAATTTTATCATATTTTTTTTTTTGCAAAGTCCAAAATCTGAAATGTGCCAAAAAAACCTAACCATTTTTAGCATGACTATTTGCTGCGTTTTATAGAGAAAAGTGAAAGAGGTTTGTGGTCATTAACTTAGAGAAAAGTTCCATTCAATTGCAAGTATTTCATTAACGCTTTTTTTAGCTTCCTCATGTGATCGCAAGTTTACTCTCAATTTTTTTTGAGTTGTTTTGTTGTTAATTTTATTATCTTCGGAGTACTAAATAAAGACTACAATGGTTGAATCTTATTTCAAGTTCCCCATTCGCAGTGGCCGCAGCAGCACACATTTTGGTATTAAAGTTTAATGTTATGTGTGTTTTGTTCGATGATACTTTCGGGTGGAGAGTTTAAGCGTTATATGGCATTACCAGATTCGGTTTTTATGAAAGGGAGTTTTTTTTAGCATCAGTATTTATTGCATTTTACACCAATTTCAAATAAATAATTCAATTAATTCAAACCCGATTTAGTTATCTATACTAGTCCAATCTGATGCTACGTTATGCCTCAATTTTTAACCGAATCAGCTGTAATTTTAAACAAGTAAGCAAAGGTTGAAGTCGGTCCATTTGGTAGTCTACTACAATACATTTTGCGGCAAAGCTTCTGCAGATCTGAAAACTATAATGAAGATTCCCCCAAAAAACATATCTATCACATAATAAAATTAAATCTCTAAAAAAGCATCGATATTTTACCAACTACTACTTCAAAATACCTAATTCGTTCCTGCGGAGAGATGAGAAATATCGCAATCATGCATTTATGATTTCTCTAATTTTCGTATTTTTTCACATCTCCAAAAAAACATCGGTATCTTAGGAAGCGAAAAATACGAAAATTTTCACACAAAATTGTTGTCCATTTCAACAGCTAAACATTATTCAATGACTACCCAAAAAGCTTGGCTTCAGCGCAGTCCTAAACTCTAACCTTATTAAAAATTCCAGTCTATTGGTCCTCAGTTGAGAACTGTAAAGCGATCGCAGAATATTAATTTTTTTTTCAATTAAAACTTTCCAAGCGAACATCTTCCAAAACATAAGCTTCTATTCTAATCGAAACCCTACCCCAATAAAAATTTCGTGAAGATCGGATTATAATTGCGATCTGAATATAATATCACCAATACATAGTATCGCAAGGTGAAACAAGTTAAAAAGCAGTAAGTTCAGCCGGGCCGAACTTTGAATACCCTCCACCATTCGGAACGAATTTGGAAATTTTCAAAAAATAAAATCCTTAAAAAATTCTGTTAAAATTTTAAAAATACCGAATATAACGCTTATATTGGGGTCTATACGACGTGGACCTACATAGGCATTGTTCGTCATAAGCCATTACCATATTCAAATTCGAAACTTAAAATAAACGGGAAAAAATGTAGCTAAAATCATCAAAATATCGTATATAGGGAGGTACCGTTATATCGGAACTCTGCGAAGATCTGGACCAGCATAGAAAATTTTCTGTCATAGGCTGTAGCATCCATTACGAACTTCAAAAACGAAATCTCAAACAATTTCGAATGTTGCTCTGCGTTATTTTGGTCCATTCCCGGCGAAACGCTTGCTTGATGTGATCGACACTTTGGCATTTTTTAGTGCCAACCTTGCTTACCAAAACACTCCAGACACAATAGTCCAACGGATTGGTATCCGCAGATTTTGGTGACCATTTTGACCTCATTTTGTAATCATTCTTGGGTGGCGCATGCTGTGTGCGATGGTGCTGAGTCTTGTTGGAATGTCTAAGGTCTGCGCCAAAATGTTTGCGTGCCCAAGGCTTAAATATACTCTACAGACCATTTTTGCGAAAATATTCGGCATTTAATCTGATGTCGATTAATACGAGCGGAGAGCAACCATCGGCTGTTATGGCGGCCCATACCATCACCATGGCCGGCGCTTGAGTTTTGGTGGCCAACCGAAGGTGCACATTTTGGCAAGTAAACACGATCATTTTGTTTGTTTACAAACTGCTGGACAACGAATGTTTTCTCATTTATAAAAATCAAATTCGGCTGTCCACCATTTTCGGCCAAGCGAAGCATTTCTGCTGATGTTGGTATCAACTTCTTTGAAGTCAGGCTATACTACCAGTATCACGGTAACGAGCGATGGTACAACACACAAAAGGTTTATTCACATTTAAATGCTGGAGCGCTCTAACGATAACCACTTGTGATTTTCCAGCCAAATATAAAAAAATCGCACCATTACGTTTTAATTCCGAATATCTTTTTTTCTGTGTAAAAATACCGAAAGTCGGGAGCTACCGTCCTATTGGAGCAATAGAAAAACGTGGACCAAGATAACCCATTTTCCTTTGCAATCATCCTAGATTCAATTGAAACTGTCATACCAAATAAAATAATTCGGACATCTTTATTTTGACTTCGATAATATGGGTATCACACTAATAAGTCTGAATCTATAAAAGTTAGTGAAATATATGGCACCAATTAAGATATGTTAAAATTTAAGCTTTAATTCAAAATAACATTTGTCACAACCTAAAAGGGATCATTTTTTTTTGTTTTTGTTGTAGATTTTTTTTAAAAATCCAAAAACCAGTTTTTGTTTAGAAAATGTAATTAGCTATCACCTTAAACCCAGTTTCATATCTGAACTTAAGACATCCATTTCCCGAAAGTTTACCTTGCCAGTTTTATAAGGGCTGCCTGTGGTTTAATTGACGGTTTTTTCCACTACGTTCCTCTTAACAAAATTTTGTCCATTTTTTGTTTTGTTTTGTGAGTATAAAACTTTTTAAGATTTGCTACTTTTTAGTTGGATAGAAACATATGCTTATTTTAATATTGTATAGGATTTACTTTATGTTAACTTTTTATTTTCTCTAAAATAATTTGCCTAAGATGGGCAACCCTGTAACAATCACTCAGCGCTGCAAAATATTCAATAAACAAATCATTGCAAAGCAAGTTAAATAAATCTCCTCTCACATAATTAATCTCTATTCGAGTCAAAGATCACGGTTCTAATATTTGCATTCCTTCTCTTTTTTTCTTTACAGTTATCTCTTACGGCGGTGGTACAACTCTACATCTCTCTCCTAAAAAATAAACAACATTTTGTAAAAATGTTTGACATATCATTGCAGTTTTGACAAATTATTTAAATCAACAACCAACCAATACAACAACAACAAACTTCCAATAAAAATCATGACCAATTTATCAAAGACTTAACGTATAACCCAAAAACAAACTTAGTTTTTAATAAATCAAACAAAACTCCAAATAACAAAGAGTGGCTCTCTTTCGCTCTATTCATCTCTCACCAAGCAACTCCCCAAAACAAAAAATCACAACAACAGCAATCGAAGATAACAAAAGCAGAAATTAAAATACGCACAACAACTATTTGTGGTGGGGTCTGTCTCTTGCTCTCCACAGTTGATTTTTGTTATTCTTTTTTTGTGTTTTATTACACCCAAACCAGTTTGTTGTAAGCTGTGTCTGTGTCCGTCTCTCTCGCCTCCCCGTGTGTCCCTGTCTCTTCATAATTTGTGCTACGTGAATAAAGTAAAGTGTCTCTCTCTGTGTGTAAACGTGTTTGTGTGCAATGCCCCACTGTTAAAGTAATAAATATTTTAACTGGATACCACCTCCTACACCGATTTCCACCCTCCCGGCCTAGAGCGGTGTTTTTGCAAATAAATTGAGAAAAAAAAATAACAAATAATAACAACAAACACAAAACCCCTCAACAAACAACAACAACAATCATCATCATCATTAGCATCCAGAGAAAAATTATTGTCGATTTATGTGTGGAAGCGAATATAAGAAATTATTAACAACAAAACAGCAAAAAAATGTTAATAAATAAACATTATTTAAATGACTTGAAGTCTTCAAAAATGTTGGCCGCCAACAACACCGCCATCACCATTACCGCCATCTCTACCACCACCGATTGCCCCACCAACAGCAGCCGCTCTTCTACGAACAAACATAAAACCAATAGCAAAAATAGTAATCCCACCCCAACCATGACCACCAACACCCCCTCTACAATGTTTACACAGCGGATAAAACAGCAGCGGCAAACGCAGTTATCCATTGGAGGAACGTCAGCGCCATCGTCTTTGTCGTTGCCGACGTTGCTGTCGTCATTTCGTCGCTCTCTATCATTGTCGTCACCTCCAGTACCAACACAACGAAATCTTCTCATTGGATTTATTTTAACTATTTTATATGTACAGGTGAGTGTGCAATGAACGGTAGAAATAGTACTAGTCGTCTCTCGTAGAATAAGCTAGCCCGCCAGTCATCCAAAAAGCCAGCCAGCCACCAAATCTCTGAAGTGAATGGTCCCGTCCGGTCCGATAGCTTTGAATAAACAATTGCTTGGAGACCTGTTTTATACCTTTGTTTAATTCAGTTGTTCTTGTTGTTGCTCTCCGTGTGTATTTCTGGTATTTCTTATCTGTCGTTCTTTGCAGTTCTTTATGTTTTCATTTTTTTATGTTTATTCTTCGATTCATTGAAGTCTGTGTTGTGTCTATTGGAAGCCACACCAAACGGAATAGTAAATTGGCCTGCACCCCCCTCCAACCTCTCGGATATGGTGGGTTGTGGTGGTGTGTGTAACTGTTTTATGGCAATTTTTGAAATACCTTTGGTCAGCTGTTTGTTTGCTTGACCAGTTTTCCATGGCTTATTGGTTTCGAATCAGAATTTAATGCAAGGCAGCTGGTTTTTCTTGTCATAATAAAGAGCTCAATAATATGTTCAAATTATTCCTAATTTTTTTGCGATAACCCAAAAGTCTAGTAAATGAAAACGATTGAAGAGAGCAATTTTAGCAGGTGAGTCAGTGAGGTTTACAAATTCTTGCTTGGAACATTTTTGCAGAAAGAATTATCCAGTATTATCAGGAGATCATCACTTTTATACCCTTCACTATAGTATGGAGGGTGTATAAAGTTTGTCACACCGTTTTTAACTCCTCGAAATGTACATTTTAGACCCCACAAAGTATATATATTCTTGATCAGCATAAAATTCTATGTCAATTTAGCGATGTCCGTCCGTCTATCCGTCTGTCCGTCTATGGGTATCACTTTAACTTCCGAACGAAATTTTTGTAGGTTGATAAAATTTTATTCAAATGTTTTTTAATGTCTGCAGGACTTTTGGCGTTGAAAATGACCCATGTAGGTCCATGTTTTGGTATTTTCCCCATATAACGATACCTCCCGATATTCGGTATTTCGATGATTTTAGCGACCTTATTGGAATTTTAGCGACCCTGGAATTGTTTCAAATTTGGTATGTGGAGTTCGTAATGTATACTACAGCCTAAGACAGAAAATTGTCTATATAGATCAACGTCTTCATATAGCCCTCATATAACGGTACCTTCCGATAATCATTTTTTTTTTTGGTGATTTAACCGACATTATTCACCGGAAATGTTTCGAATTTAGTATTTAAAGTTCGTAATGGATACTACAGCCTATGACAGAAAATTGTCTGTGCAGGTCCACGTTTTCGTATAGCCCCCATATAACGGTAACATCCAATAATCGGTATTTTAATGATTTTAGCGACATTATTCGCCGGAATTGTTTCCAATTACGAATTTAGAGTTCGTAATGGGAACTTCAGTCTCTGACAAAAAATTGTCTATGCAGGTCCAGGGGTTCGCATAGGCCTCATATATCAGTACCTCCCTATATTCGGTATTTTGACGAGCTTAGGTACAATACCCAGCGAAATTGTTTGAGATGTCGTATTTGAAGCTCGTAATAGATGCTGCAGCCTGTGACAGAAAATTGTCTATGCTGGTCCAGGTCTTCGCACAGCTCCGATATAACGGTACCTCTCTACATGCGATATGTTAATGATTTTAGCTAAATTATTCGCCATTTATTTCAAGTTTCGAATTTGAATATGGTAATGGCTTATGACGAACAATGCTTATGTAGGTCCACGTCGTATAGACCCCAATATAACGGCTATATTCGGTATATTTAAAATTTTAACAGAATTTTTAAGGTTTTTATTTTTTCGTTCCAAATGGTGGAAAGTTCGGCCCGGCCGAACTTACTGCTTTTTAACTTGTTTTGGTCTCAAAACGTGTCTCATCGAAAAAATGGTTTTAGACATTCTTTGGACCAAATCCGTTTCAGGATATTTGGAGTCGATTTAGCGATGTCCGCCCGTTTGTCTGTCTGGCCGGCTGGCTGGTACGCACTATAACTCTCCAAGGGAGTATCCGATTTGTTCCAAACTTACGACATCGTAATATTTTTGTCAAATTTAGACCGATTTCGGAGGTGGGAAGTATCGGTCCACTCCTTCTGGTACCTCCCCCACAAAATGTCAGCATTTCAAGAAAATAATTTACTGCACAGAATGAGAAAGGATAATCCGATTTTTTTCCAACTTTGCAAATCCTAATATTTGCGAAAATGGATAATATCGGCTCACTACATCAAGTACCTCCCTCACAAACGGTCAGAATTTGGAATAAATATAACCCTTATAAAATTTGATGCAAGATTCCGATTGTCTTCAAATTATAGACACCACAATATGTTCATTAATCCAAGGTCTGGTGTGAAGATGGAATATATCGGTCGGGTACCTCTCCCACAAAGGGTCAAAAAAAAGAAGCTCATAAAAAGCGAAATTAACATCTGATTCCATTCAGACTTGGCACATCTCAATATTTCCATCAACACAAGATAGTAGAGATCGAACCATTCCTTCTGGTACCTCCCCCACAAAGGGTTAAAATTTTGAATAACCAAAACGATTATAAAATTCGAAATAAACATCCGATTTTCTTTAAATTACACACATCACTATATTTTTATTTGCCCAAGGTATGGTGTGAAGATGCAGGGATATATTGAGGTAGCTCCCCTACAAAGGGTCAAAATGTTGAGTACCCATGCAGCTCATAAAACACGAAAATTACGTGCGATTCCATTCAGTCTTTATCCATCTAAATATTTCCGTCTAAATTCATTCATCCATCTTCTGAAATTTACCACATACTAACATTTTTGTTAACCCCAGATCTGTCGTGAAGATGATATACATCTGCTAACCTCTTTCTGATACCTCACCCACAAAAGGTCACAATTTCCAATACTTATATCTATCATAATTTGCGAAACAAGTATGCGATTCCTTACTACTTGCTATATCTAAATATTTCTCTCAACATGAACTCTGATATGAATATGTCATTTATCGAAATTTATGATTTTACATAAAAATTGGATATAAATGTTCGATTTTCTTCAAATTTTGCTCATACTAATATTTTTATCTGTTTTAGATGAATTATGAAAATGGAATACTTTGGTCCGCTATATCTGTTACATCACGCATATTTCCACGTTTTCCAAAAATTTGCACATATCTCATATAAAGCCCAGGAAATAATCGATATTGTCCAAATCTGTCACGTTGTAATATTTATATCAGTCTTAGGTCAAATACGAATTGGTCAATATTGGCCAACTGCTTCGTAACCTCCCCCATAAAAATTCAAGAGTTTTAATAAACATAATGCGGAGATGGGGGTATCAATCTGTCGGCAAATACGACAGATACTATTTGACTTGTTTCTTTTTTTTAATTTCAATGTACACAAGCCTCTATGGGTTGGAAAATTGCTATTGAACTTGATAGTACTCGTTTGTAGATCTAAATCGCAAATAATTTTATATTTGCAGTTCGTAATAGGCTCTACAGCCGGTGTCAAAACATATTTGTCCACGGTTCCCAAATAACGGTGGACATTCTGTATTTTGGCAATTCAGCTACATTTTTCTGTAAAATTGTTTAAATTTTGCCATTTTAGACTCGCAATCGTTAAAAAATCTTTCAGTGGAACATTATTTATAAAGGTTCCTGTTTTAATATGACTTTTATGGTATTTTGAAAACTTTAACTGGACTCTGCAACGAAACTCACTGTTATTTCCAGTTTAAAGTGACATTTAAATTCGACGCAGCCAAACTTAATGTTTTTTTATTGGATTTTGAAAGTTTTGGATTACTTTAATGGTTCAAAAATGGGTCATGTCTGTCCACGCTTTGGTGTAGCCCCTTTAAACGGGTAAATTCCGATTTAAAGAAATTTGTATACCCTCAGCCATATGGCTACAGAGGGTATATATCATTTGATACGGTCAAAACGTGCCTAGTCGAAATAACGGTTTAGACCCTAGGTCTCTTTGGACCAAATCCGTTTCATAACATTTGGAGTCGATCTAGCGATATCCGTCCGTCCGTCCGTCCGTCCGTCCGTCTGTCTGTCTGGCTGGCTGGTGCGCACGATAACTCTCGAAGGGAGTATCCGATTTGGTCCAAATTGGGTACATCGTAATATTTTAGTCAAACTTAGATCGAGTTCGGAGATGGGCAATATCGGTCCACTCCTTCTGGTACCTCCCCCACAAAAGGTCGAAATTTTCAAAAAAATATATATATTTTGCACAGAATGAGAAAGGATAATCCGAATTTGCTCCAACTTTGAAAATCCTAATATTTGCGTCAGTGCTAGGTCAGGTGGGAAAATGGACAATATCGGTCCACTCCATCAAGTACCTCCCCCACAAATGGTCAAAATTTTGAATATCTACAACTCTCATAAAATGTGATGTAAGAGTCCGATTGTCTTCAAATTTCACACATCCCAATATTTATATTAACCCAAGGTTTGGTGTTAAGATGAACAATATCGGTCCACTCCATCTGGTACCTCCCCCACAAATGGTCAAAATTTTGAATAATTACTATCTCATTAAATATGATGTAAAAGTCCGATTGTCTTCAAATTTCACACATCCCAATATTTGTATTAACCCATGGTCTGGTGTGAAGGGTGAATACATCGGTCCACTCCTTCTGGTACCTCCCCCACAAAATATTGAAATTTTGAGTACCCATGAAGCTCAGGCCAAATTAACATCCGATTCCATTTAGACTTGGCACATCTGTCGCAATATTTCTATCATATTTTTGGGTCCGATAGGAAATGGGCAATATTGGCCCATTCCTTCAGGACCTGCTCCATAGAGGGTCAAACGTTTGAATAATCTTAACACTAGTCAAAATATATTTAAATAATCGAACATAGGCTGAGGGTATATATCTGGCGGCAATACCGACTGATACTTTTTAACTTGTTTTTGTTGAAGTCATATTTTCCATTAAAAATGGCCAATCTTCGGTATTTG